CGCTCATCGTCTCTCTCATCGTCTCTCTCTCCTCATCGTCTCTCTCTCTCTCTCTCCTCTCTCTCCTCTCATCTCTCTCGTCTCTCCCTACATCATCTCTCTCGCTCCTACTCGCTTCTCGTCTTTGTCTCTTCCTCTTTCCTTTCTCATCTCCTGCTCTTCCTCTCTCTCAATGCGCGCTTTCGTTCCCTCTCTCTCTCCTCTCTCCCTCATCGATCCTCTCGTCGTCTGGCTCGTCTCTCTTCTCTCCCTCTCCTGGGTTCTCTTGGCTTGCTCTTTCCCCCGTCTTTTTTTTTCAGTCATCTCGATACGTGCTCTCCTCTTAGCCCGCTTTCGTCTCTCTCCCTGTTCGGTCCTTCGGTTCGGGCATTCGGGTTCCTGTGGTCTAGTGCCCTCTCTCATCGCCTGGTCCGGCGCTCTCCCGCCCTCTCTCGTCTCTCTCTCTCTCTCTTCCTCTTCCTTCTCTCTCTCTCTCTCTCTCATCTCTCTCTCTCTCTCTCTCTCTCTCTCTCTCTCTCTCTCTCTCTCTCTCCTCTCTCATCTCCTCTCCTCTCTCTCTCTCCATCTCTCCCCTCCACTCTCTTCTCATCTCTCTCTCTCTCCTCTCTCCATCTCTCTCTCTCTCCATTTTCCTCTCTCTCTCTCTCCCTCTCTTCCTCTCTCTCTCTCTCCTCTCTTTCTCTCTATCTCTCTCCATCTCTTCCTTCTCTCCCTCTCTCTCCCTCTCTCCCTCTTCCATCACACGCTACCCCCCCCCCCACGTCTATTTCACTTGTTAATATAATTTGTATTTTAATGTTGAATTTTATATCATATAACTTTGTGGATCAGAGATGCTTGAATGGCAGCCAACGTTTCAGTGGTAAATTATATATATGTTGTTGGTCAAAATATAGAGATAGATAACGAGACAGATGAATGGACGATGCAGAGACATACATGAGGGAGAGGGATAGGGAGAGAGAGAGGGATAGGGAGAGAGAGAATAGGGAGAGAGAGAGAGGAGGAATAGGAGAGAGAGAGAGGGAGGGAGGGAGGAGAGAGAAGGGGGGAGGAATATAGGGAGAGAGAGAGAGGGGGAAATGAGGGAAGAGGGAGGAAATAGGGAAGATGAGAGGAGGGATATAGGGAGAGAGAGAGAGAGAGGATAGGAGAGCAGGAGGAGAGGGATATGGGGAGAGAGAGAAGAGAGAGGATGGTGAAGAGAGAGAGAGCAGAGGGATTAGGGAGAGAAGACGAGGAGAGGGATAGGGAAGAGGGAGGGAAGGAGAGGGATATGGGATAGGGATACAGGAGAGAGAGGGAAGAGAAGAGAGAGAGAGAGAGAGAGAGAGAGAGAGAGAGAAGAGAGAGAGAGAGAGAGAGAGAGAGAGAGAGGAGAGAGAAGAGACGAAGAGAAGAGAGAGAGGAAGACGGGCAGTAATCGTTAATCCAGAGTAGGAGAAGAGAACAGAGAAAGAGAGAGTAGAGAGGAGAGGGAGAAGAGAAAGAGTAGAGAGAGAGAGGGGAAAGAGAAAGAGAATATCGAGAGGAAAGAGAAAAGAGATAGAGAGGAAAGAGAAAAGAATAAGAGATGGAAAGAGAAAGAGAGGGAGAAGGAAAGAGAAAGAGAGGGGAGGAGGAAAAGCAGAAAGAGAGGCGAAGAGAGAGAGAGAGAGAGAGAGAGGAGTGAGGGGACGGACGGGAAAAGGGAAGGAGAGAGAAAGCGTAGGGAAGGGGAGAGAGAGAGAGAAGTTGAGCGGAGAAGAGGAGGACAGGGAGGAGGATGGAGAGCGGTAGGGAAGGGGAGGAGAGAGGGGATAAGGAGAGAGAGAGGGGAAGTACTGCGGGGAGAGGAAGGAGGGGGAGAATGAGAAGAGTACCAGAGGCGAGGGGAGGGCCTGTGGGGGGCGGGGCGGGAGTGGGCGTGGGCGGGGGGGGCTGTGGCGAAACGGAGGTCGTCGGTATGAGGGCGGACTGTGGGCGGGAACAGGGGGGATGGAGATGATGAGGAAGGAGGGAGAAACGAGTGTCGGATAGGAGAAATGGGGGAGGCGCACGGGGACGGGATAACTGACAATACGCGGAGTGGAGATAGAGAGGTAGGGGATGCCGTTGGCGCGGAGAGATGGAGGTAGGATTTACCCAGGGAGAATTAGAGAGGAAACGAGAAGATTTAGACGAGGAAAAAAGAAAAGATAGAGAGGGATGGAAAGGGCGGAAAGAGAAAAGAATAGAAGGCGAAAAGAAAAAGAAGCGGGTGATAGAGAGGCAGAGGGAAGGAAAAAAGACGCGGGAAACTAGGGGATAGAAGGCCGAAGACGATGAAGAGGGGAGCTACAGGAGGGGAAGGAAGAGAGAAAGGGGATGAGGGGCGGAGGGAAGCTAGTGCGGGAGGAGAGAGAGGGGGGAGAGAGACAAAGAACCACAATAAAACAGAGAGAGGGAGGATGAAAGAGAGAGAAGAACAAAAGAAAAGGGAAAGAGAAGGAGAAAATGGCGTAAAAGAAGAGAGGAAGAGAAGAAGACAAAGAAGAAGAAGAAAGAAAGATATGAGACAAAGAAGAGAGGAGAGAGCATGAGATGGACCGAGACGAGAGAAGAGAGAGAGGAGAGAGAGAGAGAGAGAGAGAGAGAGAGAGAGAGAGAGAGAGAGAGAGAGAGAGAGAGAGAGAGAGAGAAAGAAGGAGAAAGAAGAGAAAGAAAGAAAGGAAAGAAAGAGAAAGAAAGAAACAAAGAAAGAAAGAAAGAGAGAGAGAGAGGGAAAGAAAGAAAGAAAAAAAAAGAGAAAGAAAGAAAGAAAGAAAGAAAGAGAGATAGAGAGGGAAAGAAAGAAAGAAGAAAAAAGAAAGAAGAGACAAAGCGGAAGAACCAGCTAATAAAAGATCTTCCGAGACGTCAATGAATTCCTTAAGGATAAGAAAACTCCCCGGATGTGATGGGGCCGATTTAATGGACGGCTCAACAACTAAGAAAGGCTTACATATACCGAGACAAAGCTGATATCCACAATAAAAGAAATCAACTTAAAACTTGGGGCTTTTCAGAGACCTTCGGTGACTTATCATATCTCTGTATCGATGCAAACACAACTTCATACTCGACTCTTAGACGAACTAAATGCCCTTTAAAGATACACAAACAGATAAACCAGTGAACATCATCAGAAGAAACACGGCGGCCATTGCAATGCATTCTAATTCTATAAATAGCCACGCATATCTCAGAACAAATAAAAAATGCTTTATATGCTGCCAAACTGAGCTATAAGCAATCTTTAAAAATGTTTCCATAAAAAAGCTACACAAATAAAGAATACCTATAAGATAACCACCTACATCCCAATAAAGCTAAACACACAGAGGAAAAAACGGTCTAAAAACATCAGCACACGTCTATAGATAAACGGATGAAAAAACATGATTTTACAAATAACCAGAAAAAAATTACACCAAGAAAAAATGGGGTTATGCCCAGCTGATCTGCTCTGACAGCCACTCTCACCACGTTAACTGATGAGAGCAACACTCCCCTTCCTTGAGAGAGAGAGAGACGAGAGAGAGAGAGAGAGAGAGAGAGAGAGAGAGAGAGAGAGAGAGAGAGAGAGAGAGAGAGAGAGAGAGAGAGAGAGAGAGGAGAGAAGAGAAGAGAGAGAGAGAGGGAGAGGAGAGAGAGAGCGAGAGAGAGAGAGAGAGAGGGAAGAGGGGAGAGAGGAGGGAGGAGGGAGGGAGGGAGGGAGGGAGAGAGAGAAGAGAGAGCAGAAGAGAGAGGAGAGAGCGAGAGAGAGAGAGAGAGGAGAGAGAGGAGAGAGAGAGAGGAGAGAGAGGAGAGAGAGAGGGGAGGAGGGGGGAGAGAGGAGGGGAGGAGGAGGGAGGGCAAGGGAGGAGACAGACAGACAGACAGACAGACAGACAGACAGACAGAGAGAGAGAGAAAAGAAGAGACGAGAAGAAGAGAGAGAAAGAGAGAGGAAGAAGAGAGAGAGAGAAAGAGAGAAGAGAGAAAGAGAGAGAGAGAGAGAGAGAGAGAGAGAGAGAAGAGAGAGAGAGAGAGAGAGAGAGGAGAGAGAGAGAGAGAGAGAGAGAAGAAAAGAGAGAGGAGAGAGAGAAGAGAGAGAGAGAGAGAAGAAGAGAGATTTTGGATGGATAGGAGGGAGGAGTTTAATCCTAAGAGCAAATTTAGGGCCGATCTATCCCTTAGCCCACGCGGATTGGGCTGGGAACTAGGCACAGCGATAGAACAGGTCAAAGGAAAGATGAGGAGGAGGAGGAGGAGGAGGACGAGGAGGAGGAGGAGGAGAGGAGAAGAAGAGGAGGGAGGAGGAGGCAGAGAGGAGAAGAAGACAGAAGACGGAGGAGGTCAGTAGCAGTAGGATGTAGAAGAATGAAAAGAGGTTGAATTAAGAATAGGAAAAGTGGGGGAGGAGGAGGAAAGGAGAATAGGAGGAGAGATTAGAAGAAGATTGAAGAGAGAAGAGAAAAAGAGTGGAGAGGAGGAGAAGGAGAAGCAAAAGAAGGAGAAACACATAAGAAACAGATAAGACACATCCTTCGCTAGAAGAAACATATAAGAAACATCCTTAGCTACAACTGATCACACCACAATTCTGAGGCCAACAGGTCACATCAGGTCATAGGAGCCTGATTCACTTTTTTCTTCCCTCTTCTGATGCGAAATGAATCGCCCAAGACTCACCTACGATGCACCTGTTTCCCCTTACCCCAGCCCTAGGCAGAGAAACTCACTTTTCCCCTGACCTCCTGGGACTCACTTTTCAGACTAGAAACCCTACCCAAATAGGACACACTTTTTACTAGGACTCACTTTTTAAAAGGGACTACAACTTTTTCCCCTGACCTAAGCAAAATAGGGACTCACTTTTTCCCCTGACCTTTAGCTTAGGGACTCACTTTTTTCCCCTGACCTAGCTCAAGTAGGGATCTCACTTTTTCCCCTGACCTAGCCAAATAGGGACTCACTTTTTCCCCTGACCTAGCCAAATAGGGACTCAATTTTTCCCCTGACCTAGCCCAAATAGGGACTCACTTTTTCCCCTGACCGTAACCCAAGTAGGGACCTTTTTCCCGGACCTACCCAAAGTAGGGACCTTTTGCCCCTGACCTAGCCCGAAATAGGGGACTCACTTTTTTCCCCTGACCTAGCCCAAATAGGCTCACTTTTTCCCCGACTAGCTCACACTTTTTTCCCCGACCTAGCCCAAATAGGACTCACTTTTTCCCCGGACCTAACTCAAGTAGGGATTCAACTTTTCCCCTGACCTAACCCAAGTAGGGGACTTTTTCCCTACCTAACCCAAATAGGAACTCACTTTCTCCTGACCAGCCCACACCTAACCTAACCCAAGTAGGGACTTTTTCCCCTGACCTCCCAAATAGGGACACACTTTTTCCCCACCTAACCCAAATAGGGACTCACTTTTTCTCCTGACCTTGCCCAAGTAGGGATTCACTTTTCCCCCTGACCTTACCCAAATAGGGACTCACGTTTTCCCCTGACCTAACCTAGCAGAGAAACTACACTTTTTCCGCTGACCTAGGCCAAATAGGGACTCACTTTTTCCCCTGATCTTAGCCCAAATAGGGACTCACTTTTTCCCCGGACCTAGCTCAAGTAGGGATTCACTTTTTTCCCCTGACCTAGCTCCAAGTAGGGGACTCACTTTTTCCCCTGACCTAGCCCAAGTAGGGACTCCACTTTTCCCCTGACCTAGCCAAGTAGGGATTCACTTTTTCCCCTGACCTAGCTCAAAGTAGGGATTTCACTTTTTTCCCCTGACCTAGCCCAAGTAGGGATTCACTTTTTCCCCTGACCTAGCTCAAGTAGGGATTCACTTTTTCCCCTGACCTAGCTCAATAGGGATTCACTTTTTCCCCTGACTTAGGACTCACTTTTTCCCCTGACCTAGCTCAAGTAGGGATTCACTTTTTCCCCTGACCTAACCAATAGGGACTTTTTTCCCCCTGACCTAACCCCAAATAGGGACTCACTTTTTCCCTGAGTAGGGACTTTTTCCCCTGACCCTAACCCAAATAGGGACTACTTTTTCCCTGACCTATTTTTTCCCCTGACCTAGCTTCAAGTAGGGATTCACTTTTTCCCCTGACCTAGCTCAAGTAGGGACTCACTTTTTCCCCTGACCTAGCTCAAGTAGGACTCACTTTTTCCCCTGACCTTAGCTCAAGTAGGGATTCACTTTTTCCCCTGACCTAGCCCAATAGGGATTCACTTTTTTCCCTGACCTAGCTCAAGTAGGGATCACTTTTTTCCCCTGACCTAGCTCAAGTAGGGATTTTTTCCCCTGACCTAGCCCAAATAGGGACTCACTTTTTCCCCTGACCTAGCTCAAGTAGGGATTCACTTTTCCCCCTGACCTTACCCAAATAGGGACTTTTTCCCCTGACCTAACCAAAGCAGGGACTCACTTTTTCCCCTGACCTAGCCCAAATAGGGACTCACTTTTTCCCCTGACCTAACCCAAGGAGGGACTCCCTTGTTGTTCCTAACCAAGTGGTACTGAACATTTTTATTACCACGCCCCCTCTAAGAATTGATTCTCCCTTCCACGCCCTTCCTGCGTCTTTGGATAAAAAAAATTCTCCCTCCTTGGGTCTCGAGGGATAGAGAAGGTGGGGCGCAAAAATGCTAAGCCTAAGTAGGAGAGGCGATATTTTTGCATTTTCTTCTTAAACTAGCACATGCTAGTTCTTAAAAAAAAAAAAAAATGTACTTAGAGAAATGACTAACTCCCCCCCCCAAATCAAGAACCACTGTCCTAACCATCCTATCATGGGACCCCCTTTCCCTACAACCTTGGTCCTCGGGAATGAAACCGACGTGAGCAGCGGCGACCAGTGCGCAGATTCTCTCGGTTTCGCAAAGTGTGAAAATTCTGCGCGAAAATACAGGACACTGATTGGGTCATGTGTGCACATATAAAGCGTTAAGCCCGATTTTCCTATCTTGCTGTATATATGTTTTTATATGAAAATGACCGAAACTTGGAACTAATTTGACTTTTATTTTGATTACATTTTTTTCTCCAAAGGACATTTTATCAATATATCTAACCATCTTTCCTAAAAGGGTTAATCATATCGCTCTCAAACCTAATACTTTGTTCTCCGAAACTGATGCAGCTTACCCATAAAATTCTCAATGTCTCCATGAAATCCATGCATAATAAAGGTGCGCATTTTGCAAACCTTCCAGACCGACTCACCTGCCTTCCTCCGGCCAATTCTTAGCACTCACCTTCGGCCCAGCTCCATCTCGGGCCTCACCTGTTAGCACTTAGCCTAGCTCGAAGGCGGGACTCACCTGGTCGCCCTCGTTGAGCCTGGGATAGCATCGGTCTGCGGGCGTATTGGGCGCCACTCGAGACACCAGGACGGGCAGGTTCTGGTCGGAGCCGCCCTTCACGTTGAAGCCGAACTTGCCCCCTTCGTCAGGCTTCATTCGGATGGTGACCAAGCCGTGGGCGCTCTCGTCACTCCCGCCGGGCTGTGAGTGTGCAGGCCCGCACGCGCGCACCACCAGTGCCATAAAAAAGAGGAAGAAGAAAGCGCAGAGTCAGTGCCACCAACACCAGCAAGCAGTGAGAGGTAAAGAGTCCTCTGGGAGCAGAGGAACGGCAAAGGAAATATGTATAAAATGAACTCTTTATTTCAACCTTACTCCACGCCCTGCCTACGACTCCCAAGCACAGAGAAGCCTACGTCATCACACGCTTGTACAAATCTACGTTGCATCCCGCCCAGGATTCGGGGGGAGGAAGAGGATGGGGGGGAGGGGGGATTTGGGAGGCCAAAGGGGGTAGAGGGATTTCGGGGAGAAAGGGGGAGGGGGGAGGAGAGATTTCGGGGAGAAAGGGGGAGGGGGGGTTCTTCTTGTCTCCGTAACCCGCTTCATCATCTTAGATAATACGAAAGCGTCCCGAGCGCCTTACGTAAGAGGAAACTCGCTCGTAAACAACGGCGCAGATCACAAGGAAATGTTAAACGATACATTTTTTTGTGTGTGTGTGTGTGTGTGTGTGTGTGTGTGTGTGTGTGTGTGTGTGTGTGTGTGTGTGTGTGTGTGTGTGTGTGTGTGTGTGTGTGTGTGTGTGTGTGTGTTTTGCGTGTGCGTTGCGTGTGCGTGTAAACAGAGGAGCATTCGCGCCCCTCGCCCAGCGCCCGCCCGAGTGCGAGACGCCCTCCCATACGGTCTAAAATTAGCAGTAGTTTAAAGGTGAGCGCGCGGGCGGGACGGCCGAGTGGCTGCCTCCGCGCCCTCGCCTCCGCCTTCTTGTCTTCTTCACACCATTCCACCTCTTCCCTCCCCCTCCCCCTTTCCCCTCGGCACTCCACGCGGCGCCGACCTCCCCCCCCCCCTCCCGAGTCCAGTTGGTCTCACCCCCCGCGCTTTTATCCTCCGACCCCCCCCCCCCCCTCTCAGGACGCCGCGCCCCGCCCGCGCCGCCCGCACCTCGTTCCCGGGAATCTCCACGAACGCCGACGCCGCATTCCGAGGCCCGCGGTACGCACTCTTAAAGACGCTCTCTCTCTCTCTCTCTCTCTCTCTCTCTCTCTCTCTCTCTCTCTCTCTCTCTCTCTCTCTCTCTCTCTCTCTCTCTCTCTCTCTCTCTCTCTCTCTCTCACTCCACACACACACACACACACACGCTGGGTTTACGGTCTGTCTGTCTGTCCGTCTGTGTGCGTGAGTGAGTGAGTGTGCGAGTGTGTAAACAAGTATGAGTGCTCAAGACACACACACACAAACACCGTTGACCTCGCCTCCTTCAACCCCGGGTCACGGCCAAGGTTTACAAGTTCCCACCCCCCTAACTCCTCCCCACCCGTCCCTCCCCCAACACATCACCCAACCCTTACCTATGCCTCCATCCCCCTTCACCCATCCCCACCCACCCCCGCCCTCCGAAAAAAAAAAATGATATTCGATTCGGATTCCGTAACTTTAAGCCGTACTCTCTGACACAGCTTTGAAGTCGACCATGTTTAGGCGGAGAGGACGGAGGGAGGGGGAGGAGAGGGAGGGGAGAGGAGGGGGAGGAAGTAGAAAGTGGAGGAGATGGAGAGGAGGAGGAGAGAGAGGAGAGGAGAGGAGAAGAGAGAAGAGAAGTAAAGGAGGAGGAAGGGGAAGAGAAGAAGGAAGATAAAGAGAAAAAGGGGACACAAACAAGGAAATAAAGATAAAAATAAAAAGAAGGCAAAGAGGAGTAGAAAGAAGACGATGAAGAGTAGGGAAAGAAGCACAAAGAAAAACTTAGTGCTTCTGCAAAATAGGAAGAAGAATGTAAGAAATATAAGTAAACAATGAACTACAGGAGGAGGAGGAAGAGGAGGAGAAGGAAGAAGAGAAATGCGCACGGGAAGAGGGGGACTAAAGACAAATGTCTCGGAACAAAGGGGAATATCAAGAAGAGAAACTAATGCAGAACAATGAGCAGGAAAGAGGGAAAGGAAGGGAGAAGGAGGAGGAAGATGAAGAGGAAGAAAAAGTAGAAGAGGAAGAGGAGCAGTATGATGATGATGAGGAGGAGGAGGATGGAAAGAAAGATAGGAGCGAGAAGAGGAAAAAAAGAGGAATAGGAAGATAAAGAAACAGGAAGAAGCAGCGGAGGAAGAGGAGAATCGGAGGATGGAGAAAGAGGAAGAAGAACAGACAACACAAGAGGAAGGAGGTGAGGAAAATGAGGGAAATGGGGAGGCCGAGGAGGGCACTCATTCCCCACGCCCATTATGCACACCAATGCCTCCCTTATCATGCCACTAGAGCGACGACCTTTGACCCCGCGCTGACGTCAATGCCAGTCTTATCTCGAACTCCTTCACATTCCCACCTATATTTTACGATCATATTTCTCATTCCTCTTATCATGTCCTTTTCAGGGTATTTATGATTCTTACGAAGGAGTCGCCAGTCTCTTTGTCTCTGTCTGTCCCTGTCTTATTTTCTCTCTTTCTCTCTTTTTCGTTCTGTCTTTCTTTCACTTTCTTTCTCTTTGACTCTCTCATTCACCCATTCACTTATTCACCCACTCACTTATTCACCCATTCCCTCATGCACCTATTCACCCACTCATCCACTCACCCATTCATTCATTCACCCATTCACTCATTCACTCACTCGCAAATAATGAAGCACAACAACCACCCGACATCCTAACTGTGCTGACCCCTCCCCCCCCCTTCCCACCAAGCACCCACCTCCGAGCCGAGAACATCGCAGTGACGCCAGGGAGAAAGTGCGGGAGGGAGGGGGGAGGGAGGGGGAGGGGAGGGGGGGAGGGGGGAGGGAGGGAGGGAAAGGGAGGGGGAGGGAGGGAGGGAGGGGGAGAAGGAGGGAGGGAGAGGGAGCGGGCAAGGAGGGGGAGGTGGAAGGGAAGGATTGAGGAGGGAGTCTGGGAGAGCAGGTCCGGGTGTTGTTGTTTGTTGACGAGGAGGGGCGGGTTATGAGGAGGGGCAGGTCATGAGGAAGTCGGGCCATGAGGAGGGGCGGGCCATGAGCCATGACGGGTACTTGCACCGTGCACCCTATAAGGCCGTCTCTCTCTCTCTCTCTCCCTCCCTCCCTCCCTCCCTTCCCTCCCTTTCTCTCTCCTTCCCTCCCTCACCCCTGATACAGTGGAGAACTCTTTCTCTCGAAACATGACCAGTCGATAGACATAGAGATATATTTAAGACAGATATACATAAAAAAAATTGATATTCTCACAAGAATACACATATCCGTATACTAATAGACACATAATATATATATATATATATATATATATATATATATATATATATATATATATGTATATATATGTATATATATGTATATATATATATATATATATATATATATATATATATATATGTATATATATATATATATATATATATATATATATATAATATATATATATATATATATATATGTATAATATATATATATATATATATGTATATATATATATATATATATATATATATATATATATATATATATATATATATATATATATATATATATATATATATATATATATGTATATATATGTATATATATATATATTATATATATATATGTATATATATATATATATGTATATATATATGTATATATATATATATATATATATATATATATATATATAGTATGTATATATATATGTATATATATATATATATATATATATATATATATATATATATAATATATATATATATATATATAATATATATATGTATATGTATATGTATATATATGTATATGTTATATATATGTATATGTATATGTATATGTATATATGTATATATGTATGTATATATATATATTATATATATATATATATATATATATATATATATATAAACGCTCTAATCGTCTCAAAAAACAAAAAAAAAAACAACAATAACAAAAAAGACAAAATTTAAAGTCCCACGATTCAATAAGAAAGCTGGACGGTTGCCAGACACACCGGTGCCTCGCAGACCAGAACAGAAAAATAATAATAAAAATATGATAACCGGCATCGAACAAGGTCAGCGCCCGGTGAGATAGTGACCCGATATCGGAATCTCGAACAAGACGCATAATAATAATAATAACAACAACCACAATAATAATAATTATAACAACGATAACAATAATAATAATAATAATAATAATAATAATAATAATAATAACAATAATAATAACAAAACAACAACAATAAAAAACAATAATAATAATATTAATAATGATGATAATAACAATAAATATAATAATAACAACAAGGACAAAATAATAACATCAATAATAATAATAATAATAATAATAACGATAATAATAATGATCAAAATAACAACAACACCAGTCATAATAACAATAACAATAATAAATACGGGGATAACCATGCCATCATAATAATATCACAAGCTAAACGTAACGGCAACTATATCAATGGCATAATTAATATCGAAAGACTTAAATAAAAAATCCAATCGTATTCATTCTGTTTTTAACCAGTTTATATTTGGGATAAATGGAGTGAATGAGGGGAAGCAAGAAAATAAGTAAGAAATACAAGGTGAAGGAACAACTGATGATTAATATCATTATTATCACTATTTTCATTATCATTATTATTATAATTAATGTTACAACTGCATTAACAATAAAAAGTAGTAGTAGTAGCAGTAAAAACAGAAGAAAAAGAAGAAGAGGAAGAACAATAACAAAGAAAGAAGTACTACGAAAGAAAGAAGAAGAAAGAAAAGCGAGGAGGCGCAAGCGAAGGTGTAGGAGTCGCCCAAATAAATCATGTGACTGAAGTACAGTGTCGAGATATCCTTCGCAGGACCTAAAAATAGCCATGAAGTCATCCGGGACCCAGGCTTTCTCCCGCCAGAGCACGGCACGGCGAAACCGACCCATATAAGGATTTTCAAGACCCCCCTCCCCCTCTTCCTCTCTACCTGCTCTCCGCCCGCCCACCTACCTCCCCTACCTTCCCTCTGCCTTCCCCT